GAACTCCTGACCTCAAGTGATCCGCCTGTCTCCCCTTCCCAAAGTGCTGGGATTACAGGCGTGAGCCACCGCGCCTGGGCACTCCTACACTTTCCTTGCCCATGCCCAATTTGAAAGAACTGAATGCTGGTTAGTCCATAGTACCCTGGACCCTGTAGAGAAAGCTCTGCGCAGAGCAACCTGGGTAAGTTGCAGATCCAGATATCATCATGGGGTCTCTCTCCACATATCCCAAGATTCAGAAGCTCTTGTAAGTGCTGCTTCAGTGGCAAGCAAATAAGCAAGAGCGTGGACCCTGCACCATTTATGATGCAACTTTGCAGACATCCATTATATCCACAGCTAAATCCGAAAATATTCAGGAGTTGCTGCTTTTAGATACCAATTATTTTCTCTTGACATTAAAATGCTAACAAATCTATGACTGTTATGATCAAGTTAAAACAATTCCCACTGAAGAGAGACAGATTTTACTCTGAGCCTTTCATGTTTCTTTAAGTTTAGAAGGTGAATGAGCAGTGGCTGGGGAGGATGGCCTTGAAGGTGGAGCTCACAGGCTTCCTCCCTGCAGGGCCATTCCTTAAATTGGAGGCGCCCTTGATATGAATCCCTCCCTACACACTAGAGGTTTACTTGCAATTTAAGACTTCACATTTTACATTAATATGAACAGGGAAAATATATTTTGTAAAACTGCATGTAAATCTCGTAAAGCATTCACAGGTAGGGTCATTATATTATTCTATCTATTTTTAGGTATGTTTGAAACTCTTCATTATTAAAAAAAATTTTTTTTTGGCCGGGTGCAGTGGCTCACATAATCCCAGCACTCTGGGAGGCCAAGGCAGGTGGATCATGTGAGGTCATGAGTTTGAGACCTGCCTTGCCAACATGGCAAAACCCTATCTCTACTAAAAATACAAAAATTAGCTGGGCATGGTGGCACACGCCTGTAATCTCAGCTACCTGGGAGTCTGAGGCAGAAGAATGACTAAAATTAAGGAGGCGGAGGTTGCAGTGACTCAAGATCGCGCTCCTACGCTCTACCTAGCCTGGGGGAAAGAGCGAGACGCCATCTCAAAAAACTAATAATAATTTTTTAAATCTAATGAAGCGGGGAAGAAAAGTCCTGAGAGGCATGCTGAACTGTAGCATACTCTTGCAGGTGTGAAGTACAGAGGACGTAGCCAACTCTCAAGACCAAGGGCCTCGTTTTCCATGCTACCTTCCCTGTCACCTCTCCCAGATCCTGGGAAAATGTGACCACTATTTCACAGTAGGAAGTAGAAACGGTGCCCAGTTTTTTGAAGGCTTGATTCAGTTTGGCATTTTGGAGATGTCATCTTAAGGACAGTGTGAGGTTTTTCTGTAATCTGTGCATTTTGGTCATCTGTCCCACCCTCATGTTGTGGATAAGCAGTGGCAGCATTTTCCAGATTTAAGCTGACACACACTAAAGCCAACCTGTATAAAAAAATACACCAGGAAAAACTATGGAGCATCTGAAATACGATGTGTAGTCTATGTAGAGACTGTGTTACAGTACCAGATAACATTCCAGTTTCATCCCGATTTCATCAGTCAACAATTTAGCCATGCAAAATGACATTTTTATTCTATTTTCTAAATTATTTATTATTTTTTTTTTGGAGACAGAGTCTCACTCTACCCCCAAGGCTGGTGCAGTCTCGGCTCACTGCAACCTCCACCTCCCAGGTTCAAGCGATTCTCCTGCCTCAGCCTCCCAAGTAGTTGGGATTACAGGCACCCACTACCACACCCGGCTAATTTTTGTATTTTTAGTAGAGA